TTCTTTTAGAAAGTTGACTGAAGGGCGGGGGTTGTGGCTCAGTGGTAGAGCGCTGGCCTCGCMTGTGTGAGACTCTGGGTTCCATCCTCAGCACCACATAAAAATAAATAAATAAATAAAATGAAGGTATTGTGTCCAACAACAATTGGAAAATGAATGTTTAAAAAAAAAAGAAAGAAAGTTGACATAAGCTGGTGTGGTGKTGGTGCACACTCGTAATCCTAGCAGCTCGGGAGGCTGAGGCAGGAGGATCACGAGTTCAAAGCCAGCCTCAGCAAAAGCAATGCACTAAACAACTCAGTGAGACCCTGTCTCTAAATAAATACAAAAAGGGAGGGGATGTGGCTCAGTGGTCCAGCTCCCCTGAGTTCAATCCCAGGTACCAAAAACAAAKAAAGAAGTTGACCGAGGTGGGGAGGAGCTGTCCTGGCAGGAGCCAGGTACCTGGTGGTATGCAGTGGTAGAAACGACTTGCATGTCAGTCCAGCTGCCATGAGCTCTGTCATCTCTCCACCTGTTTAGGTTCTGATGAAGTCAGGACCACTTTTCCTTATGGATCTCTCTCTCTTTCTCTCTCTCTCTCTCTCTCTCTCTCTCTCTCTTTTAATTCCTTATATTAGAGCAGCTTCAGGTTTACAGGAAAACTGACCCAAGAGATTTCCCTTATGCCTCCTGACCCCCAACATGCACAGCCTCTCCAGTGATCAACATCTTCCACCAAAGCCTAGTGTTTCTTTTTTAAAAGTCGGAAAAGTCTTTCCAAAATCCCCCACCCCCCAAAATAAATGTTATTTTATTTCTCATGACCTTTTCTGAAACCAATCATTAGTAAGCAAGATTAGAGAGATTGTTATTGGTGTGGAGCTAAATGGATATTGGGAAGTCATCACCATAACTACCACCATATCCCTGCTGATCTCTTTGTTTCTTAGGGATAATATCTTTTTTACTCCTTTGCTGTCTTTTTAGTTGGCTTTGGGGGAGGGACCAAGAAGTAAATATATATGATGTTTCTGCCCTGATTAACACTTCCACATTCGTTGCAGGATTAGTCACTGTAGCCAAGATATGGAAGTAACCTAAGTGTCTCCTGATGGATTAAAATATAAAGAAGTTTGGGTACATATAACACCATGGAATATTATTCAGGCATAAAAAAGAAAAGAAATCCTGACATTTTCAGTAACATGGATGAACCTTGAAGGCATTATGCTAGTGAAATAAGTCAGATAGAGAAAGACAGAATACTGTATGATTCCACTTGTGTGTAGAATTAAAAAAAAAAAAAAACTCATAGAAACAGAGGTTTCCAGGGGCTGAGGGATGRGGGGAAATGGATAGATCCAAGTAATTTTCAGTTATAAGATGAATAAGTTCTGGGGAATCTGGTAACTACACTAAATAATAGTATGTTATATTCTTAAAATTTGCTGAGAAAGTAGATCTTGAGAATTCTCACCATTGGAAGAAAAAATGGAACCAAGCACAGTAGCACACACCCACAATCCCAGATACTCAGAAGGTTAAGACAAGAGGATTATAAATTTGAGCCTGGGCAATATAGGGATAACACTCATATCTTAAAATTAAAAAGCACCCCTGAGTTCAAACCCCATACCACTCCCACTCCCACACACACACAGGGCCAGRGGTGCAGCGTGGCAGTAGAGTCTAGCACGCAAAGTCCTGGGTTTAATTCTCAGTTCCAGGGGAAAAAATGGTAATTAGTGGAGGTAAGGGATATGTTAACTCTATCAATTATAGTAACCATTTCAAAAACATGCATATATCACATCAACACATTGTACACCTTCAATATGGGTAGCTATTTGTTTATTATGTAAAGTGTAATGTATTGCACATTATTAAAGTTTGGAAAAAATTAAAATWAAAAAGTCAAGGAGTCAGTCATGGTAGGGCATGCTGGTAATCCCAGCAGCTTGGGAGGCTGAGGCAGGAGGATCTCATGTTTGAAACCAGCCTCAGTAACTTAGAGAGGCCCTAAGAAACTTAGCAAGACCCTGTTTCAAAATAAAATATAAAAAGGGATGGGGATGTGGCTCAGTGGTTAAGTGCCCCCTGGGATCAATCCCTGGTACAAAAAAAAAAAAAAAAAAAGTCAAGTAGTCTTGAAGGACATAAATCAAAAAACTAATAGCRCTTGATCTTGGGCAGCAGGAATGTAGGTGATGTTTTCTGTCCCTCTGTTTGAGAATCATCTAAATTGTTTTACTTTGAGATCTTAAGCCGTAGGCATGTAATAGTGCAGCTTCTTTTCCCAGTCCAGAAGAGTAGGCATGGAGGGAGGACTGGGGAGATGTGTTCTTTGGTCTGTAGACCTTTGGCATGCAGAATGAATGGCATCCTTGTTTTTGTAATTATGGGAAGGTGAGTGTCAATGATAAATTGTCATTCCTATGAAATTTTCATAATAACGCTGAAAAACTACTTTTGGCTTTGTTTTGTTTTGTAGCAAATATATATATATATATATATATAACATAAAATTTGACATTTTATCATTTTAAATTGTACTAAGTGTATTCAACATAGTATAATGCAGCCATGTCATACCCATTTCCAGAACGTTCTCTCAACTGCAGTTGTAACTCTTACTCATTAAACACTTACTCCCCATCCCTCCCTCTCTGGCATCTCWTAACCACTGTTCTATCTCATGTAAATGGAATCATACAGTGTTTGTCCTTGGTGCTGGTGATTTCACTTAGCATGCTGCCTTCAAGGTTCAGCCATAAMATAGTAGGTATCAGAATTTCACATGTTTTCTCCAGTCAGAAGGGCAGTTATCAAGAATACAAATAATAATAAATGTTGGTGAGGWTGTGGGGGTAAAAGTTCATTCATACATTACCGGTGAGACTGCAAATTGGTGCAACCAATCTGGAAGGCAGTATGGAGATGCCTCAAAAAACTTGGAATGGAACCACCATTTGACCCACTTGTCCCACTCCTAG